GCAGGCCGTAGGGCTGGCAGTCGGGCTGGCCAGGGGGGCAGGCTGCCAGGCTGGCCGCGGTGGCCGCGCTCTGCCGCGGCGGCGCCGGCCACCGCGCCCTCCGCCGCCGCCGCCGCCGCCGGCGAGGAGCCGGCAGCGGCAGCGGCAGCGGTAGCAGCAGCGGCAACGCGACAACGGCCGTAGCGCCGGCCACGGCGCCGCCGGCCGCCGCCTCCGCCGCGTCGGGCTGGCCGTGGGGCTGGCCGTGGGGCAAGCCGTGGGGCTGGCACTTGGGCGTAAACAATTTGACCCGTACACGCATAGATGTAAAATATCTAACTCGACTAGCTCGCGCATGATTCTTCCAGTAGCCTCGATCATAATCTGATCATTGGCTTATTGTAAGAATACAAACGTTCTGCGTCTGTTCGACATGACGGTTGCGTCTTTCTACAGCGCCTCTTCTTCTCGTCGTTGTGGAACGCAGAACCAATAAGAGCATATCTTTCTACACTAGTGGCTTATCTTCAAATGGTAGTCGAATATCTGTTCTGAACACATGTGCGAACGAAACAACACTTATTCGAGCATACACATGATATTACATGTATGAAAACACTTATACATAATAAGGCCAAACAAACCAATGGTTGATCATAGACATCTCGGCGATGACTGTATGATCATCAATACCATTTGAACGCACATGTCTGAAGCACATGTACGACGAAACGAAATCAATCTCAATGTTTGTGCCACTGCAATCATATTCTCGAACGGCCACGCGTTCTCTGTACGGCCACGTACAGTGAGCTTTTGCGGAACGCAGCATGTGCATAGTTTTCTGTCCTAACACTTTTTGTTTTAGGGAATCCATGTTCATGCATCCGAAGTCTTGAACATCTGCTCGTGCAGAAACCTATTGTTTTGTTTTTCTTTTCATACGGTACCTGGAATCTTTTGCTATTTGAATGGGGGCTTCTTTTATTATATTTTTTTGTTTCCCTTGTTATCCATTAGTCTTACGGCTTCAAATCGAAATTGAATGAATTATCTACGTACTCAGATTCACCTGTAGGAAACCTTGCGGGTTTGGGATGATCCCTGGTCCCCGAAGCCGCCAGAGCCCCGAAACGGCACTGGAGGGCCCCTGGAGGGCCCCGAAACGGCACCGGAGCTCCCCAGAAGAGCCCCGAGACGGCCCAAGGAGGCCCCAAGGCGACCAAAGAAACCCCGAGATGGCCCAAGACTGTCCTCAGACGGACCAAGATGCTCCCAAGACGGCCCCATAGGCCAGCAAGACGCCCCAGGACGGCTCCGAGGGGACACCCTAGAGGGCTCCAAGGGGCCGAAATCGTAGGTTTTCTATGGGTCTAGATTTCCCATGGGCCTCCTTCGGATTTTGCAATTCTCGCGCTCTCAACCGTCTTGCCCCCGAAGACGGCCCAAGATGCCTCCAGGATCGCCCCGAAACGGCCCAAGAGGAGCCCAAGAAAGCCTCAAGACAGCCCAGGAGGAGCCGAAGGGGGGCTCAAGAGGCCCCCAAGACGGCCCAATGGACCCCAAGAGGCCCCCAAGATAGCCCCATAAGCTCCCAAGAGGCCCCCAAGACAGGGCAAGGGGGCCCCGAGCCTGCCCACGAGGGCCCCTAGACGGCCGAAGATGCTGGCAAAACGGCACCAGAGGGCCTCAGATGCCCCAAAAGAGCCCCAGGAGGACCCCCAAGAGGGCTTGAAGAGGCGAACATCATAGATTTAATGTTGGTTGTCGATCGCACACCGCAGCTTGCTGGCATTTGCGCGCCACAAACAGGAAGAAGCGCGCGTCGGCAAACCTCGACTCATGCAGTTCCGTGGATTGAATCCACGGGTCCACACGAACATACATTTTTTCTTTATACATATATATTATATATACAATATGTGTATATAGACATATATATACTTTAATATACACACATATTTAGAAACATACATTTCTGTGTGTATTTTTGATGGGCCCTTGAAGCCGCACAGTGGTTCCAAGATGGCCCAAGACACCTCCAACGCGAAACATCAAGAATCGTGCCATCATTCCCTTTGATAAGTGACTGAGTATTTGGAAGCACTAGCTTTCTCAATTTGCTGTTGGAACGGACGGAAACGAACACAATCTCCGTCAATGATGGCCCAACAACTCTCGCACGTATGAAAACGTGCGCAAATCGGACCAAACTTTGATTCGACAACTAACGGAATTGTGCATCCTGCGCCTATGTCTTCCTGCACGTCCAATGTTCAACAACAACTCGCATCTATCGGACATCGCGTCAAACGATATGGGCATCCGTGTCGTCTCGCCCCTGGGCCGTGACCTCATGTAGCCGCGCCTCAATCACAATGCTCACACATCAAAACCAAACGAGCACGACAACATATAAAATTATCACCGGGATGCGATACATGAATATGCACCCGTGCTCGATCCCCATCGCACGAATCCACCGAACGCAATACAATCAGCAATCTCAATTGTGATCGCTGTTCTTGGCTGGCTCCTGAAGCTGTTCCTGGCCCGACATAATCGGAAAGTGTGCGAAGACGAAATATCAATAAACGGCAACAGCGAAGACATCCGAATATACGTGCGCCGTTTACGAATGTGCCGATTGTCAACAGCTTGCTTTAAATATGCACCCAATCAAGCCTGATATTAGTTATATGCCACATGCGGTTCCAAGCTGCAAGTTTTTCCTGTGTTTGCGCTCCGTTTTCTCACCGTCTCCGACGCCAAAGCGATGTTGTGGTCGATTGCAACATGTGGGTATCGTGAAAACAAGCTCGGGCGGCTTTTTGATTAAAGAAACCCGATTCAGAAACCCGATTCGCCGTGAGGTATCAAGATACGTAGCGTACAGTGGTTCAAGTTTGCGGAATACGGCCAATCAGCATGCCTCAAACAAGGCCCAGCACGGCCCCAATTGCCCTCGGAACTTCCGAGGGTGCGCGATCCACCGTCACTGGGCCAGAGAAATCTCTCTCAGGGGGGGGGATCAGAAACCAGGGCGCCCCCACCCACCCTGAACCCTCCCCCCCCCCCCCTCCCGGGGAAGAAACTAGAAGGGGTCCGGAACTCTCCCCCTCCCTCGCCCTTCCCTGGAAAATTATTCGGAGGGTCCAGAGCCACCCCCCCCACCCTGCCCCGGCAACAACCACGACGACCATGACGACGACGACGACAACGACGTCAGCGGCGGCGGCTGCGCACCTGTCTCCAGCGCCCGCGCGAGGCGCCCGATCTGATATTTTGCCACTGGGGTTCGATCCAGCTCTCAGTATTCTACTAGAGCCCTACTGTACTTTTCCCTACTCTACTCTACCCTACTCACTCTACGATCCTCTACGGTCCTCTACTCTATTCTTTTCTTTTCTTTTCTACTCTACTCTACTCTACTCTTCCCTACTCTAGTCTACCCTACTCTACTCTACTGTACCCTACCACACCCTAACATGCTCTACTCTACTCCACTTTGCTCTTGCTCTACTCTACTCCTTCTCTACCCTGCTCTACTCTACTCTGCTCTACTTTCATCTCCTCTACTCTACTCTTCCCTACTCTACTCCACCCTATTCTAACTTACCGTACTCTTACATGCTCCACTCTACTTTACTTTGCTCCATCTCCACTTTACTCTACCCCTATTCAACTCTACTCAACTCTGCTCTACGTCATTTCTGCTCTACTCTACCCACCTATTCTCTTCTACTCGAGTCGACTCTTCTCCAATATGATGTACACGTCACTACTCTACTCTACTCTGCTCTATCCTGTTCCACTCTACCCTACTCTACCCTACCGTACATTTACACACTCTACTCTACTTTATGTTGCTCCTTCTCTACTCTAGCCCATTCCTGCTCTACTCTACTCTAATCTGATCTACACCTCCCTACTCTACTGTACTCTACCCTACTCTGCTCGGCTCTACTCTACCCTTTACTCTACTCCTATAAACTGTACTCTACGCCTTCTCCACTCTGCTCGTCGTCGTCGTTGTCGTTGTCGGCGGCGGCGGCGACGTCGGCGTCGGCGTTAGAATTATCGTCGATCGTCGTCTTCGTCGTCGTCGTCGTCGTCGTCGTCGTCGTCGTCGTCGGCGTCGGCGTCGGCGTCGGCGTCGGCGTCGGCGTCGGCGTCGGCGTCGTCGGCGTCGGCGTCGTCGTCGTGGTCGTCGTCGTTGCCGGGGCGGTTCTGGACCACCCGAAGAATTACCCTAGGGTGGGGGGCGGGGCTCTAGACCCCCCGAATAAATGTCCCGCGGGGGGGGGGCGGGGGGAAATCTCCCGCCCCTGCTGGCAGCGGCAGGAATCGCGCTTTCGAACTTCCCAATGACACGTCCGAGGAGTATTGTTTTTTCACGTGCGCAAGTTTCAAACAATATTGCTTTCTAGTCTTCTCGCTTCTGATTGGGCTCCGAGGCCCCACATGGCTCCAATATTGCCCGAGCCCTGAAAAGAGGCTACGGAGAGTCCCGATACAGCCCCGAAGACCTCCAGGAACGCTCCAAGAGCTTCCCAAGATGGCTCCAGGAGATGATTCGTTGGGCTCAGACGGGGGACGCTAGTTGGAGCCGTCCCATTTGTTCCTCGATGGTCGCCACGAAGGCCCTGGGAGAGCCCCAAGGAGGCTCCAAGAGTCCAGACAAACATCGCAAATGGCCCCAACAACGCCCCAAAATAGCCCCAATAAATTCCCAGAGGATCCCAGTCCGAAAGACCAACGAATTACTTTAGAGTTGACTGCTGGGTCTGGCCAGGCTGATCCCGAGCATCAATTCGACGGCTGCTGCCCTCATTGTTCAACTGCATGCTCGTACACTTCTTCGATCAACCGTCGTCCTGCACCTTGCGTTCTCTCCTTACCCCTGCTCTGGCTCCCCTGATCCAGGCGCGATGCAAGTGGGCAAGGACGAGGCGGTGGAGGAGGAACAGGCAGGATGCATGGAGGAAGTTTAGGGAGGGATGAAGAACCACGGAGAGGATGCGGAAAGGAGGAGGGAAACGGGAGGAATGTGAGGAAAGGAAGGCGCCAGGCGGAAGCGTGTACCATCAAATTGGGACAACGCCGAGAGATCTCCAACAAATTACAGAACCGCCCTGGTTCTGCGAAGCCCTTGCTGTTTCACTCGTGTTTTGCTACACGTTCGTGTTAGCACGTTCGCTTTCCAGCGACCAGTCGCCCGACATGCCTTCGACCAGGGCTCGGACTGTGGCGCTGCGGGTGGCAACGCTCGGCTCCACCCTCTCCCGCAGGAGCTGGCGGAAGAGCATCAGAGTCCGCTGCCACTGCTTGCCTTTCTCGCACGCGCTGATCCCAGAATTGTAGCTGACTAGGGCTGACCCGTGGACTCCGTCCACGACATCTTTCTGGAATGGTTCTCGGAGGAACGGCGCAGATTGTACCGAAAATCTACAAACACGGCGGCGGCTCGGGCGGCGGCAGCGAGACCGCGCCTTCGTGTCCGAGCTCTTGCAGCGCTGCAGCAGCTTGGCCCAGCGCACTGCTCGTTCACCCCCCTCCTATTGAGGACAGCTTCGAAGTCTCTCGGGGATGTGCGTCGAAGTCGAAGCCCATCTGAGGCGTCTCAGGAGCGCTCGGGGAAGGGCTCGGGAGGCCATCGGGGAAAGCCACCGAAAGCGCCGGGGAGGCTCGCAAGGATCTACAGGGAGGGCCCAAGAGAGCTTCAAGAAAATTTGAAATCCAGTGAACTCTTAAGAGAAACCGCTGTTGGGTCGGCCATCACCTCCGGGCGCGCCTTGATGGTGCGATCCAGTCGCATCACCGCCAACGGGAGGGTTTGTTCGCCATGTCCCATTCTGTTCGCCCAGAGGGTCTGTGGAGGCCTTCGGGCGAACAGAACGGGACAGGGCAAGGAATGGGGAAGACATGTCCGAATCTCCTGGGCCCCCCAGATGCTCGTCCGAAGAATGCGGAGAGGTCCCAGGGTCATATCAATTGGCTGCTGTCCCAGGGGTCCGGTCTGCTTGGCCCGAAGAGTTTGCCAAGGCCCCTGGGGGAACAGAATGGCACAGCATATCGGGCAAAGGGGGGCGGTAGCTGGCCTGTCAGACCCGGCGTTCGTCTTCTGCCCAAGCGGCGCGGGGCCCACGGGCCCCAGGGTTGGCGTCCCGCTGGGATTCCTCTTGTTCGCCCACAGGGTTGGAGGAGGCCTCCAGGCGAACAGAATGGGGCAGGACAATGAATGTGGGAGACTTGTCGCAAGCTCCCAGCCCCCCCAAGTGTGCGCCCGAAGGGTGTGGGGCCGCGTTGGCTCCCTCAAAGGGCCGTCTTGGAGCCGTCTAGGCCCGTCTTGAGGGCGCCGTTTGCCCTGATGGGGCCGTCTTGGTTCGTCGTGGGCCCCTCATGGGCGCGTCCGTAGGCCGTCCTGGGCCCATCGGGGTCCTCGTGGGGCTGTCTTGGAGCCGTCTGGGACCGTGAGGAGGCCGCCTTGGAGTCGTCTTGGGCCCCTCCTGTGCGCCTCCTTGGGCCGTCCTGGGCCCAGCAGGGGCCGTGTTGGCACCCTCTTGGGGCTGTCTTGGAGCCGTCTTGAGCCGTCGCAGCGCGCCTTGGGTTGTGCTGGGTCCGTCTTGGCCCGTCTTGGGGCCTTCCTGGGCGGTTCCTCGGACCCTCCTGGGACTTTCTGGGGCCTCTTGGTGCATCGGACCGCCGAAACGGCGGGAAACGCAAAGGGTGTAACAGTAAACAATGGAAAATTAACGATTTTTGCCAGCTGGGACTCTCTTGCCATCTTGGCCCGTCTTGAGGCCCCGAACGGGCGCGTCCTTGGGCCGTCCTGGGCGCACCCTCCTGGGACCGTCTTGGAATCGTCTTGGGCCGTCTTGAGCGCGCCTTGGGCCGTCCTGGGCCGGTTTGGGGCCGTGTTGGCACCCTCGCGGCGAGGAAGCTCGGAGGCGGGCTCGAGGCCTCTTCGGGGCCATTTTGGAAGCTGTTGGGGCCTCTGTAGGGGCCTCGTTTGGGCTCCTTGGGAGCCTCCTGGGGCCTCTTCGGGGGATTCTTGGCGGCCCCTTGGGGCCTCTTGGGGGCCTGTTTGGGCCTCCTGGCGCCCTCTTGGGGCGGAAGGCTCGGATTTTCGGTCCGTGGTCCCCCTCTTGGCCCCCTCTTGGGCCTGTCTTCGGGCCCTCGTGGGCCGTCTTGAGCGTCTCTTGGGTCGTCTTGGGGCCCTCTTGGGCTGTCTTGAGGCGCTCTTGGAAACCTCTTGGGCCGTTCTGGGGCGCTCTTGGAGGCCTCTTGGGCCGCCTTCGAGCGTCGGAAAGCGGAAAAGGCGAGAAGGCCAAAATCCTTCCAAAACCGTCGTAAAGCGGACGATTTTGAGGCCCAAAACCGTCCAAAACCTCCTGAGGCGGTCCCCTCGTCCGCCCCCCTCGCTTCGAAGCAGTTTTTAAGCCCCGTGGCACCTCTTGGGGATCTCTTTTGGGCTCCTGGGGGCCTCTTGGGCCTCCACTGGATTCGCTGCCCTCGGTCGGCAATCGTCGATCCTACGACGACTCTCCCCAACGGAGAAACATCGAAGGCCCTCGGAGCGTCCAACATTGTTCTTTTGTGCCTTCGATATGCCGGTCGCCTCTCGTCCGCTCCCCCCCTCCTGGAAGCAATTCTGAGGCCACTTAGGGCTTCGTGGGGGCCGTTTGGGGATCTCTTGGGGCGTTTTTGCCTGCGATATGCCTGTCGCCTCTCGTCCGCTCCCCCGCTCCTGGAGGGAATGCTGAAGGCACTGAAGGCTTCGTGGGGGCCGTTTCGGAGCCTCTTCGGCCTTCGTTTGGGCCTCCCGGGGGGGCTCTTAGGGCCCTCTCGGGCCGTCTTGGGTGCCTCTTGGGCCGTCTTGGGGCCGTCTGAGACCCGCCTCGGCGCCTCTAGGGCTGTCGTGGGCCGTCTTGGGCCGCTCCTGGGGTCGTCTTGGGTGCCTCTTGGGCCGTCTTGGCTCCTGGCCCGTCTTGGGGCTCTCTTGGGGTCCTCTTCGGCCGTCTTGGAGCGGTCGGGGGGGCTTCTTGGGCCGTCTTGGAGCGTCGGGAAGCCGACGAGGCGAGGAGGCCGAAAACATCGAAAAACACAGTAGAAATCGACGATTTCTGTCGCTCGGGACCCTCTTGGGAGGCCTCTTGGGAGGCCTCTTCGGGCGTCTTGGACGCCTCTTGGGCCGCCTGGGGCGAATCTCAGGCGTCTTGGGCCCATCTTGAAGCGTGCCGGGGCCCTCCGGGGCCGTCTTGGGGGCCTCTTGCCGTCTCGGTTTCTGGACGTTCCCGACGGCTTTTCTAAATTCAGCCGCGTATCTTTGCATTACATCACGTGTTAAGTGTGTTTTCTTTATTGTGTCGCCCATTTCTTTTCAACGGTGTATATATATATATATATATATATATATATTTGTTTGTTTGTTTATTTGGTTAGTCTCATCCTTTTTGGCTCAATGTTTCGCTAATGTTCTGCCCCCGCCGTGAGCGGGCGATCGCTCTTTACCCAGACTAATCAGAAAGCACGCAGTGGTTCTAGCTTCCGCCCCCTGGAGCATTTCGCCCCGCACCTGGCTGGAGCATTTCGCCCCTATGTTATCTGGAGCGTTACGCCCCGCCTTCTCTCCCGTCAACTGTAGTTTGGGGGCGGTGGTAACTTAAAATACTCCGTGCAATAGCTGCGCTTCATCTGTGCTTCACATTCACCACGGGCACACGACGCAAGTGGGACAAATGAGGAAGGGGGACAACGGAGGGGAAGGAAGATGACGAGGAAGAAGGGAGGAGGAGGAGGGATGACTGGAACAGGGCACGGTGTGAACTACATGGTCGCACCCCTCGAAGATCTACCTGTTGGCGGGTTCTGAGATGAACCTTCGAGTTGTCTGTCTCTCCTCGCCGCTTCCTCGCCCCTTCCTCGCCAGGATTGTCCTCGCCCCGCCCTCGCCTGCAAGCTCCCGCTAACCTGGCCAGGCGTTTTTTTTCTGGTCTGGGAGCTCACAGAACCTGGCCAGGCGTCGTTTTTTATGTTTTTTTTTTTTTTTTTTTTCTGGTCTGGGAGCCCACAAAACCTGGCCAGGCGTTGGTTTTTTCTGGTTTTTCTGGTCTGAGGGCTCAGAAAACCTGGCCAGGCGTTGGTTTTTCTGGTTTTTCTGGTCTGACGGCAGTAGTTCGCAAGCCCCCAACCTCCAGGCCAGGTTTTGTGGGCTCCCTGACCAGAAAAAACCAAAAAAACCAACGCCTGGCCACGTTTTCTGAGCCCCCAGACCAGAAAAACCAGAAAAACCAACGCCTGGCCAGGTTTTCTGAGCTCCCAGACCACAAAAACCAGAAACACCAACGCCTGGCAAGGTTTTCTGAGCTCCCAAACCAGAAAAACCAGAAAAAACAACGCCTGGCCAGGTTTTCTGAGCTCCCAGACCAGAAAAACCAGAAAAACCAACGCCTGGCCAAGTTTTCTAAGCCCCCAGGAGGAGGAGGAACGGGAGAAGGAGGAGGACGAGAGAGAGAGAGAGAGAGAGAGAGAGAGAGAGACAGAGAGAGAGAGAGAGAGAGACAGAGAGAGAGAGAGAGAGAGAGAGAAGAGACAGAGACAGAGAGATAGAGGGATAACGGAAAAAAGGGTGGGGCACCGAGGTTGAAGGAGGGAGATCAAAGGATGGTCTTGGGCAAACCACCGCGGCTGTGGGCAACGATGTTCAGCGAAGCCTTTCAAAACGATCGGTCTCAAGACAACACAAAACGACGGGAACGTTCAGAAACCGAGACGCCCTCTTGGGGCCCCCTTGGCGTGTCTTGGGGCCTCCCGGGGCCAGCCCGGGGCGATTATTGGTCACTTGATCCTGCGCCCTTCTGGTACGCACTGGGCCCTGCAATGTAGTAGAGACTTGTATGAACCCGTGGAAAATTCACGGCTGGCAGGTTGAGGTGTCGGTCCCAAACGCGCATGTGTCAACAACGCCCGACGCCTGCGGGTTTGCTCCAGGGTGTGCTGCAGGTTTCGGGCTCTGGGGCTGGTGGCTGTCTTCGAGAGTCTTGGGAGAGTCTGGGTTACCTCGGGATGGTCCCTGGAAAGTTCTTGTGGCATCGAAGGCTTCCCGCAGCCTCGCTGCAGCGTCTTGCAGGAAGAGGCGGAGGAGGAGGAGGAGGAGGAGGAGGAGGAGGAGGAGGAGGAGGAGGGAGGAGGAGGAGGGAGGAGGAGGAGGAGGGGGAGGATGAGAGTGGCATTGGAGATGGGAAGAGGAAGCCGAGGTAAAGAAGATAGCATAAGGTCCCCTTGTCACCCCTAATCGGAAGGCGGGTGCAGGAGGGCCAGAACAGTTTAGAGAGGGGGAGGCGCAGGCTCGCAGACGAGGAAGCCAGGGTAGAGAAGAGAGAAGGTCCTCCTTGTCAGCCCTGATCGCTGTGAGGAGGCCAAAAACTTGCTGGGGTGCGGGGGCCAGGAGGAAGAGGAGGAGGAGGAGGGAGTGAGGAGCATGAGCAAACAAGAGGCTGAGGAGGAAGAGAGTAGCTGTGGAGCGAGGGCGATCTTTGGATTCCTTTGGGGGCTTTCAGAAACAGAGAAAGGTGCGGGTGCTACTGCAGGGGCTCCGAGGTGACTACATGTCCCCTTTGTCACCCCGCATCCGCTGTGTGGGGATCCAGAGTGGCTGGAGCTTCTAGAAGGGGAGCCCAGGAGAAGAATCAGGAGGAGGAGAATGAGGAGGAGGAGGAGGATAAGGAGGAGGAGCAGGAGGACGAGGACGATAAGGAGGAGGAGGAGGAGCAGGAGGAGGAGCAGGAGGAGGAGGAGGAGGAGGAGGAGGAGGAGGAGGAGGAGGAGGAGGAGGGAGGATGAGTGAGAAAAGAGAGCTAAACGGGGAGGCTCGTTGGGCCTTGTTATGGGCAAGAGGCTTTGTTGAAGGCTACCTGGGAGGGACAAGGGCGGGAAGCTCTCTCGGGAGCTCCGTCAGAATCATCGGAATATCTTGGGACGGTCTGGGGCGCCTCGGAGTGGTCTGGGGCTTCGTTTAGGGTCCACGGCTTCCTGTGGGGCTTCTGGGTCCCAGAGACGGCGAACGGGCGCCGTGGCTGATGGCGCTCTGCTTAGAAGGGCCCTTGGCAAGTGTCGGAGTCTCTTGGGAGACCCTGGGGCATCGGAAAGGTCCTGTGAAGGAGTGGTCCTGGGAAGGTTCTTGGCCCATTGGGAACTGCGGGAAGCCCGTCGTCTGGAATATCTTCGGACCCTCTTGGAGGCCTCTTGGGGGTCTCCTCGGAGCGTGAAAGATATCTGTCTAGGCGTGCGGCAAGCCTCTCGCCTCTCGTCCGCCACCCCCCCATAGAGGCAATTTTGAAGCCTCTCGGTGCCTCTCGGGGGCCGTGGGCCGTTTGGGGTCCTCTCGGGGCTTCTTTTCGGCATCTTGGGGGCCCGTCGGGGCCCTCTTGGGCTGTCTTGGGCGCCTCTTGGGCCATTTTGGGGCGTCTTGGGCCCTCGTGGGCCGTTTTGGCGCCGTTTGGGCCGTCTCGGGGCCGCTCTTGGGGCCTTATGGAATCTCTTGCGCCGTCTTGGGCGCCTTTTGGACTGTCCTGGGGTCTTCTTGGGCCGTCTTGGGGCCCTCTTGGGGCGTTTCGAGCAGTCTGAAGGGGGTGCACGGCCGCCATGGATATAAAGCCATAATGCCACAAATGCACGTTCTCCGAAAAGTCTGGGGCGATGTTTGCTTCTTGGGACCCTCTTGGGGGTCCTCCCGGAGCCCTCTTGGGGTGTCTTGGGGGCCTTTTGGGCCGCCTTGAAACTATCTTGGGCGTCTTGGAGAGCTCCCGGGACCGTCTTGAGGCCGTCCTGGGCCATCTGAACCCATATTTGGGCGTCTTGGCCCCCCAGAACCGTCGCGGAGCATCGCGGGGCCGGGAGGAGCCGAAAAAGGCAATTCAGTCCACGGGACCTTTCTCTCTGAGCAGCGACAGGGCCCGCTGCAAATGACTGATCGCGTTAGGCTCCACCTTCACCGCCCGCATCTCGCTGAGCAGCGACAGGGCCCACTGCCACTGGGTGCTTTTCTCGCATGCGCTGATGGCCGCGCTGTAGATAATGGTATCGGTTTCCAGCTTTGTCTCAACCATCTCGCTGAGCAGGGATAGGGCCTGCTGCCATTTCTTGGCTTTCATGCAGGCGCTGATCCCCGTGCTGTAGATGATGGTATCGGGCTCCAACTTAGTCTCAATTATCCTGCTGAGCAGGGACAGGGCCTGCTGCCACTGCTGGGCTGTCCCGCATGCGCTGATAGCCGCGCTGTAGATAATGGCATCGGTCTCCAGCTTCGTCTCAACCATCTCGCTGAGCAGGGATAGGGCCTGCTGCCATTGTTTGGCTTTCTCGCAGGCGCTGATCCCCGCGCTGTAGCTGATGACATTTGGCTGCAGCTTCGTCTGAACCATCTCAACGAGCAGCAAACTAGCGAGCTGCCACTGCTTTCCGCTCTCGCACGCGCTGATTCCAGCGTTGTAGCTGATGACAGTGGGCTCTAACTTCGTCCGAGCAATCTCTCTGAGCAGCGACAGGGCCCGCTGCCACTGCCTGCATTTCGCACACGCGCTGATAACCGCGCCATGACTGAACACGTCAGGATTCACCTTCACCGCCTGCATCTCGCTGAACAGCGACAGGGCTCGCTGCCATTGGATGCCTTTCTCGCAGGCGCTGATGGCCGCGTTGTAGATGATGGCATCGGGCTCCAGCGTAGTCTCAACAACCTCGCGGAGCAGGGATAATGCCTGCTGCCACTGCTTGGCTTTCTCGCATGCGCTAATACTTGCGCTGTAGATGATGGTATCGGTTTCCAGCTTCGTCTCAATCATCTCGCTGAGCAGGGATAGGGCCTGCTGCCATTGTTTGGCTTTTTCGAAGGCGCTGATCCCCGCGCTGTAGCTGATGACGCTGGGCTGCAGCTTCCTCCCAGTCATCTCAGCGAGCAGCGACAAGGCGCGCTGCCATTGCTGGGCTTTTTCGCACGCGCTGATACCCGCGGTGTAGATGATGGCATGGGTCTCCAGCTTCGTGTCAACCACCTCTCTGAGCAGGGATAGGGCCTGCTGCCATTTCTTGGCTTTCATGCAGGCGCTGATCCCTGCGCTGTAGCTGATGACGGTGGGCTGCAGCTTCGTCTCAACTATCTCAGCGAGCAGCGAAAGGGCGCGCTGCCACTGGATGCCTTTCTCGCACGCGCTGATCCCAGCGTTGTAGCTGATGACAGTGGGCTCTAACCTCGTCTCAGCAATCTCTCTGAGCAGCGACAAGGCCCGCTGCCACTGCTTTGCGCTCTCGCACGCGCTGATCCCAACGTTGTAGCTAACGTTGTATAATAGAAAAAACTACGGCTGACCCGTGGACTACCCTCGACGAGTGCCAGTGTTCAGAGTGCGCTTGCTGCTGCTCACTGCTTCAGGGTGCGCTGCTTGCTTGATGATTCCGACTACGTCCAGGGCGGCGCTAGCAGTATCAGCGGCAGCAGATCCAAGCGCATGGCCAGCAGCAGCAGCAGCAACAGTGCAGCGGCAGCAGTGCAACTGCAGTAGCAGCGGCGGTAGCTCCAGCAGCAACAGCAGGAGCGCCTGCGGCGGAGGAGAGCGACGATGTGGAGGAGGCGGAGGAACCAAAACACAACCCAAGAGGAGGAGGAGGAGGAGGAGGAGGAGGAGGAGGAGGAGGAGGAGGAGGAGGAGGAGGAGTTTGAAGAGGGCTGGGAGGCCCAGCCAGTAGCTCCGCCTTAGGCGAAGCCAAGCTCCAGCTCTGTTGTACCGTAGTAACGATAGTCCCAGTAGGAAGAGATGTGCCATCTTAAGCAATAGGAAGATCCTTTTGGTCTCGATAGCGATTGTGTGCTTCGCAATGAGGCGCAATCATATTTGAACGGCCGGCCGCTTGAGTCGACGCGGCTGCGGGCGCACGCTCGCTTCCACTTCTTACGTCCGTCAACTCGCTTTAGAGTCGGCGGGGGGGAGGGAGACGAAGCGTGAGCCCGTCGCCCCTGGGCACAGCAGCTAATGTACACAAGGACAGAAGAGGAAACGGGCCAAAAGGAAGGTGGACCCGCTCGCAAATTGCCTCGCTTGTACAGTTCTGTACTTGACGTACTCATCAGGCGGCGTCAGAACTTGATGTCTGGCCGGCCAGATATGGAGTATGTCTCTTCATGTCATGCTTGAAGGCCTGTATACCTTCCATGACTAGTAAGAGCATTTGTCAGTCGATGTTCCCCTTGGTGTGACCATCCGCAGTCATATCTCGGGTGTCGCACCACTGGATGCTGTTAGCGATTCCACGCTCCATCATCTGTCGTATCCAACTGATGTATCCTAAAAAGGGTGCACTCAGTCGGCTTCTTCAAGTCTTTGCTTGACAAGGGCTTAAAAACAGACTCAGCATCTATGGTCAAGGTGACCTTGATGCTCAGGCCACCCAACTCAAGTATATCTTTCAACTGGGTGGGCGTGAGCGGCCCTGCGTGGAGCTCGTGCAGAGTCACAATCGTGGGATAACAGTCCTCCACATCATGGGCTGCTGCTAGTGTCTCTGCTGAATGGCTCGAGCGGACCTGCAAGCGATGAGACTTGCAGTGCGCATCAATCAAGTGAACGACAGGCTTACCGGGTGACGTGTTTCCACGTCGTAGCAGGTTTGCCCCGCGAATGCCATAGCCTTTGACGTCGCCATCGGCGTCTTTACTCAGGCGTCGGTATCCTTGGTCGCTATGCAGGTCGACCTCGCTCGTGGGATTCATCGCCTGGTAGACGATCTTCTTTGGGCAGGCCTGTCGCTTTCTGGTGATCGCGTTCAGTCGCCGCGCTCGGATGTTGGTCGGTTCTTGGACACGTTGTAGAGAAACAACATGCAACATCAACCACATTTGGTTGATTAATGCATGCGCCAGCGCACCCCTGAGGCTGACGAACATGTCTGCAACCATCTTGGTTGTCTGAGCGTCAGCGTCGGCGCCGGTCTGTTCAGGATGTTGTATAGGACGGAGCTGTCTGATGTCTTCATCTTGGTCCAGAGTGACATTGCCGTCCTCATCTTTGGTGTATCTCACATCACAATTGGTGTATGTGTGCTTGTTGAATCGACACTTACCAAATGTATCTTCTACGCGCTTGACATGCTTGTCAATGGTGTCCTCAAAACCGGCTATATTGATGTCGCCAACATGCTTGGCCGTGAGCAAGTTGTTGCTCATCTCGAACTCCTCGTCGTAGGACGTGGGTCGGAGACCGAAACCTCTGGTGGTCCTTCTGAGCTTTAGTGGGCAAGCCCGTGGTGCGTTTTTGGTGCTTGTGCCTGGCTTCAAGCAGTGTAGGCAATGCTTGATTCACCGTAGTGCTCGAATCCTGGCGGCAGAGTAAAACGCACCACGCGTTCTTTTTCACCAGTGGACTCAACGAGTTCCTGATGCGTCAGTCCCTTCAGGAAGGCCATGTTGGTGTCGAGGGAAGCAATGATCCATTGCATCCTGCGCGCTGCCGTGCTAGCGAGTAGCCTCTGGCTTGGCCGTCGCACCGTTCCCGAACATGCTTCTGCGTCGAAAGCTTCAAGGTCCATGAGACCTCGGAGAACCAAGCGTAATCTGATGGTGCGTTCCACCTTGCCCTTCTCGTTCTTCACGAACTTCCATGTGTGCACCTATCTCGAAGTCCTGATGTTCGACGATCTAGCTATATCTTGCATCTTAAAGCACTTGTTGTCGAACCATGTCTTGATTTCAGTGTAGAGGGCCTTCGATAATTTATCGGGATTCGCCTGGATGTCAACTTTCGAGAAGAGGTCGTCTTCCTTGACGACCACAGCTCGCTTTGCAGCAGCGGTTACGTATACTCGCATAGTGGTTACCCGGTCGGCATCTAGTATCATATTTGTTCGGACAGGACTACTTTGGACATTTCTGTCGTAAAGCAGGGTTCGACATATCGACATTTTCATCTGAAGTCCGGTCCGTAGTTGTCGCCTTCGACCATGGTGCACATTGGGACGTAGTACGTCTCCTCGGTATCGGAGTCGTGAGCGCGTCCCCACTTCGGCAGGTGTCCCCGCTTCAGCTACATTGATCAGCACACTTTGATCCGGAACCGTCTGTGTAGGTATGGCCAATCTGTTCTCTGGTGGAGTTGCCTCCAGCAGTTCCTTTTCCTCTTGTAGTTCTACATGCAGCGCTCCCGCAGTTCCTTTTCCTCTTGTAGTTGTACATGCCACGCTTCCATAACATGCGACTCGAGATCAGCCTCTGATTCTTCGTCGATAGTAGAGAGACACCCATCATCATGTGGTGATTCGGCTTCTGAGGCTTCTTTTGTGGTTCCCTCCGGTGTCGGTGTATCTGCCAATTCCTCAAATCTTGACATGTCTTGATCAAAACCTGCTTGAGGTTTAGTGGACTTCAGGCATTGAATAGTTCTCGAATGTGCTGATCCAGTTATATCGTGTGTATTCAGAGCAGTACCTTCTGCTCCATAATAATGGAAGCCTGGATTCACGTCGTTGTCGTAGTGGACCAATGTGCAGCTGTCGGCATAAGTAACCGGAGGCAGCTTATGAATACATTTGGCTAGCCTGACTGAAACTAAATTCTCAATGCGGAAGAAGTGTCTTGCTGAGGTACTGTAACGCTAAGTGTAGCTTGGGTGATAGACGGCTTGCAGTCGTCATCTGAAGCGTCCCTTTCTTGGTCGGCACATAGCCAAAGGTCAGAGTAGGTCTCCCCGCCGGTAGGCTGGCTACGGATGTCACTGTGCGTAGTGCAGTGTTGTCGGAGCCAATCGCTCGGGCTATCAGTGCTTCAATGTATAATGAATGTCTTGCATCGCCTGTTTGTACTTGAGCATCTCGATTGCCCGCTCGGATGATGACCTGACCCCTTTCACGATCATTATTTGCCACAAAGAACGGGCCATTCCAACCTCCCAAATCATCCTCCGTGGTCGCGGGGCGATGATAATCGACCAAGTCTCCTTCATCGTAATAGTGCTGACCAGTAATAGTCGCTTTAGTGCGTAAGGCCCGATTGGTCTTAGCTACTGCTGCGGCCTCAATGCATACCCTGCGAATCGTCTGCTCACGAGAATGGTCCGACGTTTCCGTCGGCTGCTCGTGGTCCAGGACGGGTAGGTCAGGGAGCATTGCTGGTTGCCGTCCAAACAGAGCGTTATATGGTGACACCTCGTTATAAAAATGGTGAACGCGTTGGCAACAAACAAAGCCTCGTGCAGTAGTCGGGTGCACACGAGAGGCATATCCATCCTATTGAGTTCAGTTTCCATGACGTGAAGTAGATGGCGTAGGATGCCATTCCTGGCCACGCTCGTTCTAGCCTGCTGTCCACGCGCACGTATCCTAAGTGAAGTGCCTTTTGCCTTGAGGACTGCTTTCGCAATGTCGTTGTTAAGGGCACCCTCTCCGTCAGAGTAGAGTGCCGTTGCAGGTCCAAACTGCATCCAGTACTGATGATCTGCACCCAGGATACTTGTCATAGTCTTGTCTGGTATCTCAATCCCAATCGCATATCGTATACAGCGATCGATGATATGGCAGATCTTGTGTTCTTGTTTGTAGAACATCAGATCGCATTCCACTTCTTCACTACACATGCCAGGTAGTGCCGTAGAGGGCATAACAGTATGCCCAGGCTTGTCCCAAGCTCTGCACTCTCGCCATGTGTCGCAGACACCTTTAATCAGGTTGAGTCTGACATTGTCCAGACCTATTTTGCTTAAGGTGAGTCTCGTCTTGGGCTCTCTCGCATGGAACCAGCGCAAGTGTAGCTTCCGCAACTCGCGTGCTACCACGCTGGGGTCAAGGCTTCGTAAATTTTGTAGACTGATTTGCACATCGAACCGTGGCCAATTTGGTAGTCGTGGTCGTGCAGCAGGGTTACCCGCTGGTGGTGGAGGAAGTGATTATCCACCTTGTTGTCGACCACGTCTGACTCTAACCTGTGGTAGTCGGAGATGGCCATCCGAACTACCAGCTCCGCTCGAGGCAGGTTGCCCTGCAGCAGATTCAGCAGCATGTCTTCCTACAGTAATGCCGTGACTGCTTGCGCCCGCTGTAGGTCCAGCTCGGGGGCTGGGTCTCGGTGCTCTTAGCCGCGTGATTGGTGATGCGACTGGCGCCTCGGGTGGTGGTGCTGCTAACTCAGCAGGAACTGGTGGTGCAAGTCCTGCTGCCAGTTCGGCAGGAACCGGTGGTATCTGTCCAGGATTGTCGGGCCGCTTCCAAGGCTTGGCGAACTTGCATTTGCCAGGTGTTAGTGCGTGTCCAGGCTTGCTTTTTCCCATGGTGGTCGTCCTTATAGTACCACC